TTGCTTCTATATATCTTACAATTGATGGTACAAAAATGTTTCAGTACACTGCACTTGTGTTGTGTTATTACTCAAGTTGAATTATTATCAACAATGCATGGTTAAAAAAACGTTGAAGTATATTGCACTTGTGTAGTGTAATTATCTAAGTTGAATTATTATCGACATTGCTCACATAATTCTGTTCTTATTTTTTGCTCACTGAACACATAATTCTGTTCTTATTTTTTGCTCACTGAACACAGTTGCTTGGTAGACCGATTTCATATGGAAATTTCTGTCAGGATCCCAAATCCATGTGTCTTTGAGGATTGCCTCAACATCAACCTTGCAAAGAGTGCTATTTAAATGTTGTCTATTCCACTCTCTCGGAACTCATCCTTACTTCAGGCCTAGATTTAAAGACGTTCCAGCTTTACTCAATCACTTCCAAAGCCAAGAATGAGTTCCCTTAGTACTAAGCTTCCTTCTGGTTCCAATAGGAATATATATTTAGCTCTCAACACATTACTGGTAAACATATTAGCTCCAGCGATCACTTTCTAGAGACGGGACAGGGCATGATAGAAGACTTTAAGTTCTAAAATCAAGGCATAACATAGACAAGGAGAACATTCAAAGCAAACTCAAGTAAACTTGTGAGCAAATGTTTAAAAAATGATATCATCATTTTTTTTGTTTATTTTTGCCCAAACAAGTCCCCACATACCTAAAGACGTCATTTCTAGAAATAATCACATGCAACCTCGAGGATTAGAACTCCTTCAGCGAGCATTAAATAAGACAGGGAGCACATTCACCACAGACTAGTAAAAGCTCATTTCTAGCTGAGTTTGAAAAATTACCATTGATATAGCACTCAGAATAGCTCGGTGAACCAGCCTGAGTAGTACTAAGCTCGGGTATGGTCGGTTCAAGAGATTTTGAGCTTGGTATTTGTGCTTGACCTCATCAGGGAGCTCGCTTCGGCAACTAAGGATACAAGTCGCTCTGACTAAAGAATTGAGGGGTCAAGCTTCTCTAGGAGCTCGAACAGATGAGGAGATGTTACTACCTAGAGGTCGTGTAGGAAAAGGTCGGGGTTCGACCTGGTAAGAGCCTACGGTGGTCATGAGGTTGTTGGGACGATCTAGGGACCTTGCAGCCATACATTAAGAGGGAACATGATCCTACTAAAGATGATAAGTGTATCTCACTAAGGAGTCTAAGATCTTAGAGATATGTTAAGTTAGGAAAAAGATACAGTTGGATCTCTTTACTAGCAAGGACTTTACTTGGACAAGAAGATAGCCCGAGTATATAAGGGGTTACCAAGTTTTATTTTACACAAGACATATTACGCTTTAAGCATACGGTTTTCATATACATTCACGAGCGAGATTTTAATTTGAGCGTCGGAGGTTTTCTGTCGAGACCCTCCCCGGTGTGTTTTGCAGGTCAGCGAAGCTTAAGGCAAATGACTGTTCGTGGTGGTTTTGGTTCAATTCGGTTCGAAGGCAATTTGCATATCAAATTAGCCCCGTCTGTGAAAAAAAAAAAAAAAAAANAAAAAAAAAAAAAAAAAACTAATCTCTTACCGGCTACAAAGGGTTAAGCTTTTTTCTCACTAAGTTATCATAAGTACTGAGGTCATGGGTGAAGAAAATTTGCTAAAGAACCTTGTGAAGGATATGGAAGAGGCTTGGGCAACACAAGTCCTTGTGGGAAGAGGAACATTACCCGGTTGGTCAAAAGATACTACAACCAAGTCATGCCACGGGCAAGTTTGTTAGCACCATGAACGAGCGTGACCCTGGTGGTAGATCATTTGCCACGACCTAGTTCAAGGCAGAAGTCATCCGTACCCCACCAGAGGTGACAACGGTGGGGAACAAGGAGCAGGCCGAGGTGGTTTTGTTAGTGTGTATAATAAAAGTTTGGCTTTTTATTATGAACATTATTTTTGTTTGAATGAGAATCACATTTAATGAAAAGTTTCTACGTTCTGTTGTTTTACATTTAGATAAATATGGTTCATCACGGATGAACATAAAATCATATTATCAGTTACTTGTAAAACATAAAGACTGTTCACAACCTTGATGGAATTGAACAAACTATTGGAAAAGGTTGTAGTGTAATTTGTATTGGTTGGTCTTGACTAATGAATTACTGTAGTGCACTAGGAATGCATTGAACGAGCCTGGAGATGATAAGTTTATTTTATACTAATCAAATAAATAAACGAGACCTCGATAATTACAGTGCACTTTTAAGCCGTAAAATAATAACAAACACGTGCACTCAATAGATATTTTTTTTGATTCACTAAAAAGTAAGATTCATTCTGTTGGATCAACCGTCTAGGTGAATTGGTAAATAATGTTGTTTCATTGTTTATATGGTGTGTTGTTCAATCATTTACTGTGACCTTGTGTTGGTGCGCGAGTTTGATGATGTCTCCGAAATAAGCTCAAAAGTTTTATTATGTTTAGTCAGACAAATTTAATTCTGGCATAAGTAAAATATAAGAATTAATATATAAGTAAAATAATTTATAATTATATTGTTCATTTTTAGTAATTATTCAATTTATTTATAATTTATAATTACGGATATATAACTTATTATTTTAGATATAATATACATACACATGGCTAATAATATTTTATTTGCATAGGCACATAATTGGCACGAGCTATATTGATAATATCAGAGAGAGTTAATTGAATTAATTTAAATTGAAATTTTACGTTAAAATTTTATAAAAATATCCTACAATCAAAATTGAGTTTATTTTATTTTCAATCGCTGCCGCTGTCTATAATTGCGAGTTAATTGGATAATTTAAATTGGAATTTTGAGTTAAAATTTTATAAAAAAATATCCTACAATCAAAATTGAGTTTATTTTATTTTCAATCGCTGCCGCTGTGCAACAATAATAGGGAAGCTCTCTAGGAGTTTTTCCCCTGTTATTGTTGCAACCACTTGGTTGTCCCATGTACATTGCAGTGTCGTTAATTCAATTTGATGTTTGGTAAAAAAAAAAATACTCTTAACTCAAACGTCATCATCTTAAGAAAAACACAAATTGATAGTGGGGGACGGCACTTGGCCAAATGACGGCCCGTGACCCGGCCCGGTCCGTCTCGTCGGGTCGGCGGGCCTCAACTTGTAGCTGACAATAATAATAAATTATTTTGTTAGGCACGAAAATGGCGACTGCTAAGGGGGTGATTGGATATGAATTCAACTAGTAAAAAATTAGTTTTTTTTTTAACTATAGTTAAGTTTGAAAAAAAGTAGTATGGTTAGTTGTTAGTGGATATATTAAAATAATATTTAAATTAAAATAATTAAAGTTGATTTGATATAAAAGTAGGAGAAAATGATTGGAAGTGATGGTTAGTTAAAATTATATGAGTGTGTGAATAGTGAATTAAAGTTGATGTGATGTGTAATAATGATTTTTTGATATTATTTAATTATATTGATAATATTGGAGATAGTGGAGTTGAGTTAAAGTTGAGTTAAATTTGAGTTTTGAGTGGGATATTTACTGTAGAAACTATAAACAATCACACCCTAAAGGTGCCGTCATCGAGCACAGATCCTATGCCCGGGTCGGGCTACTGGGCAACCCCAGCGATGTGTACAATGGGCGCACAATATCATTCAGCCTCGGGAACTTCTGGGCTCAAGTTAGATTGGAGCCTTCTGAAAATCTTTCGATCCTTCCTCACCCAGCTCTTGATCTCCTCCAATTCGATTCTCTTCCTCATTTGGTTTGTTTTTCCTCGTTCCTATTCGCATTTGTGCGTGCTGTTTCGTAGTTTTTTTAACATGGATCATGTTTGAATTTTTTCAGTAATGAAGTTTATTGATATGGTGCATGAATTCTAAGGTTTTAACGCTTCTGTTCTAACTTCTAACTTTCTTGATAGTGCTAACTGGTTTCAACTGAAAATTGAATGTCATTGAAAGCTATTGACCATTGAAGCTTTCGTTTTTGTTTGGTTGTGCTTTTGGATAATGGGATTCTCAAATTCCTTTTCGGCGGGTGTTGTTAGTAATGATGTAGATTTGAATCTATGGTTAGTGGAGATTGAACTTCAGCTGGATGGGTGTTAAAGGATAGCTACTGATTTCTTAAGAACAGTTGAATGTCTGTGAAATTGTTTTGAAGGGATTTCTAAAATTGTTTTTTTTTTCCCTTAATCCGGAATTACAATGTTTGCTTTAAATCTATTGATGGATAGTGTGTTGAAGTTTAGTTAAATGGAGAATTAATTTAAAGGGTTTCTGTTAAACTTAACTTTGTGTGTTTGTTGCATAGGTTAATCGGTTACAAACTGATGGTTATTATGGAAGGGTATGTCTGCTCATGGCAATTTGTAAAATTTTCCACAATTATTGCAATGAAAATGGCATCAGATTACATATGGGGAACTTTACACTGGCTTACGATACTAACATTCCCCGCCAGGTAGTGGTTATATCTTTGGTGATTATATTTTCAGTAAATTGCGTTCATTACCTATAGATTACTGGATCCTGTAAATTAAACGATGAACGTCATTGCATTGTAAATTTCCAAGTACCTTCTTCTCATTTATTGACAAAAATTTTGATGTCCTTACCCAATATTGCATTCATTTTGTTGCTTAAATATGTCATTACACTTGGTCAGACCACTTTAATTTTTTCTTTAGTTTTAATGGATTTTTTTCTATCTTCTTTCTTTGGCCTTGATTATTTTAGACTGGGGTTTCTGGTTCAAGTGCCATCGTATGTCTGCTCTTAGCTGCCTTCTTGATTTCTACCAAGTCAGGCACCTGATAAACGTCGAAGTCCGGCCAAACCTTATACTCAATGCAGAGAAGGAACTGGGAATTGTTGCTGGCCTCCAAGATAGAGTAGCTCAAGTTTATGAAGGCCTCGTCTATATGGTTTGTGGCTAAATTCCCATATTTTTATTCTATAATTGAAACTATCTTCAATATCCATTCAATGCTTTATTTAGCTGTTTAATAATTGTTCATGTGTTAGGATTTTAACAAGAAACACATGGAAGACTTTGGGCATGGTGAATATATACCTATGGATGAAGGTCTTTTGCCACCACTCTACCTTATCTATGCCGAGAACCCTAGCGATTCTGGAAAGGTAATATAGATGATAATATCATCATTTGATTCCCAATTTCTCATCTGAAAATGCAGATGTATAAGTTTCTATATGTGATGACTCTAGTTAATGCTGTGAAGAGTACAATGTACTCTTCTATTGTATCATTGGTTTTTCCTTTCTATTGTAACATCATGACTGTATGCAAAACCACGCACAAAGTCTAACATGTGTGTATATTTTAATAACTGGTCCTTTAATTATGGAGTAAAGGTCATGTTAATATTAAACATTGTTGAACACTTTTTTTTTTTTTTCATCTAAAAGTGACCATCTCATGAGACATGACCAGGCTCCCGAAGCATGTATTTGATGGAAGGTTGTTGTATTTGCAGGTTCATAGTACGGTTAGACAACGGTGGTTAAATGGTGAAAAATTCATCATATCATCAATGGAGGAAGTTGCTAGCATTGCATTGGAAGGAAGGACAGCATTGCTCGAAAAGGACTATACAAAATATGCAAGCCTCATGAACCGTAACTTTGATTTGAGGAGGTAAGTGTATACCCAAAACTTGGGGTTACAGGCTTCTGAACATTATTTGATGGGATAGTCTGGTTTACTTCCAACTCTAGGAGTTTCCAAGTAAATATTTTATATTGAGTTCCGCAAAGAGAATAGAGTACAAGTTCACTCATATGTTGTTGGTGGCCTTTCTCAGAAATAGTATTCTGGATTCTATATCGTTGTGCAAAAATTGGTAGTTAACTGTTTATATTCTAGGACAATTGTAACAACTACCCATGGTGTTAGCCTAATCATAAAAGCTCTGGCTATGTTTCAAACTTACAAATTGTTGAAGTTTACTTACAGCAGTTTTTGAATTTATCCAACGACCACCCATTTTGTAGGTGATGGAATTTGTGAAAGAGAAACAACTGATACGGAGGCCTTTGAAATATCAAAAAAAAGATTGGATTGTAGTGTGACTAGGTTCAATATCAATCACTGATAGATGGCATTTAGCTTTTAACGTAGTTAGTAATAGTAGGTCATCACTTTCTCTTTTGTTGCTATTTCTAGCTTCACTTTATTTATTTGTAGTTATCTCTGTACATGCTATATGAACTCGTATTGTATAATAAGTGCTGAATCCAAGTTCTTTTTTTTTTNAAAAAAAAAAAAAAAAAAAAACCTAGGCAAATGTTCGGAGATGATTCCCTTGGTGCCCTAAACATTAAAATGGTCGAAATTGCTAGACGTGTTGGTGCTGCTTCAAAATTTACAGGCAGTGGAGGTGCAGTTGTTGTGTTTTGCCCCTAAGGACCCTCACAAGCGAAGCTTTTGGAAGATGCCTGCAAAACGGATGGTTTTATTTTTGTGCAGATCAAAGTCATGCCATCTTTTCTGAATGAAGTTGATCGCGGAACCATGTCAACAAGATGAAACATGATTCGTGTGTCTGCCCATATTTGGGTGGATGCTTTTTAATTCTTTTATTTTTTTTGGCCTTGTGAATTGTGATCATAAATAAGGCTACAACATCTTCTTCACCAGATTGGACATGATGATACATGAATACTTTGATAATATATCCAGATTCTGTGTTATCTCAAACTTCTCTGTATGACTTTGTAATGCATTACCATGTTCTGAAATTTTAGAAAGAATCACCAGCATCCATCTTTGCGAAAACCGAAACATTTGCCTTGCTTTGGAGGTTTTGCCCGAGAAAATTTGTAGAAGTTTGAGATTAACAAGCCCTTGTAAAATCTAAAACTAGCAGTAATGCTGCTAAATTTTTAGATAAAGATGTAGAAGGAAATGAAGCCTTTTTTCAAGCAAATGAAAGTATCTTATCTTTCTTCTTTTGTATGTCTAGGTCATAAAAGTTTCATTCAAGCATGCGATGCAAATGGAGTGGAAAAACAATGAATGTGTGTGTTCTGCTTTCATTGTGTCTACATGTGTGTTTATTATGTGTGAGTTCTGCATCCTATTTTATTATACTATTTAATTTTTTTATTTTCATACTTTGCCCAAAATCATGGTGCACATTATATAATTGGCCCGTAGTTAGGCCCGATCTCTAAATTGCAAAAAAAATAAAAAATAAAAATAAAAAAAGAAAATAATAATAATAATAATAATAAATCACGTGTTTATACTTTATATGTAAACTTAAAAAGTGTGATTAAATCTATATCTATAACTTCTAAAAAGATGGTGATTTTTTTTTTTCAATTAAAAATTATGACCAAAATTGACATGTAGATAAGGGTCTAAATTAAGTAAATTAGCTCGATTTGGGGCTGATGTCTATGGTTGCAAAAACAGTAGGTCATTTATTTATATCCAAATTTTAAAAGTTCGTTTAAATCTAATTTGCAGAAACAAATAATAATTTTTTGACAATCAACCCAAAATTTATAAACATTTAATTTGTTTTGTCATCTACCAACAAAAAGGGTGTAAGTCACTGCAGCAAGCTCAACAAAGGTTACATTTGATCACATAAATCGTAGGCACAGGCAACAAGCACAAATTGTAATAGAACATCAAATAAACTTCATCTACTACATTCAATTTCCTCTTACAAGGGCTCAAATCAAAC